TTTTGAGCATAAATCAATAGATTGTAATCATAACTAATACAAAAGGGTTATGATAGTTATTTATCATACTATTTGTTTTTGCTACTAAGATATTTGAAGAACAAGTTTTACAGTTGTTATGGATTCCGTGAATTTTATCAAAACAAAGTGAAATAGTTAATTCTTTAGTTTCAATGTATTCATCACATCCCCATGTGTAACTGATTATAATAATTATATAATAAAACACCATGACTTTTAATAAAAAACATCAATATAACAGTCAGTACAACTTGAAAAGTACACTGATAAACAGCATTTAGAATCTTTAATATCCTCTAACTTCTATTTCTGTAATGATTTCAACTAAAAAGGATTTTCACTTTAGGGGTTTTGGAGATTGTTAAGTTTTTGATTGAGATCATTAACCGATCGATGTTAGACCACCATTGAAAACCTGGAAGACATTAACACCATTGTATGCCGGCCCAGTGGTCCAGTAGATTCAGCGTTCGCGCGCGATACGGAAGGCCCTGGGTTCAAACCCTGCGAGCGAGATCGTGGATGCGCACTGTTGAGGAGTCCCACAATAGGACGAGACGGCCGTCGAGTTCTTCCAGGTTTTCAATGGTGGTCTAACATCAATCGGTTCGTGATCTCAATTAAAAAGAATTTGATTATAAATTTCGGATGTTATCCAGGTTTAATATGAAAAGAAGAGATAAATTAAGAATTATCTATTCTGTAGTGAAGTGAGTGAAAAATCCAGAATGATTACATAGTAAGTTGAGTGAAATAAGTACGTACACATTTGTGCGAAAACTGTTTATTGTTGTGTAATTTATATTGCATAATAATCGATCAATGATATTGTAGTTATTATTTTGATTATCATTATTGATCGAATTTCAGATTTTCACACATAAAATTGTTTAATTAACTTAATAAATATTTTTTGTATATAAGCGACAAAAACGTAGTATTTTATAGAAAAATAATAAAAAGTGGAACAATAATGGGAAAATTTATGATTACAGATCTATCTGTTTATTGTAGTAAAAAAACAATTAACTATTCCAATAAATTATTCTTTGTTTTTGTGACAAATAGGATGAATTTAATTTCAGACACAAGTTTATATGTAGAATAATATCGGCGAGACTATAATTTATGGACGAACCAATCAGATTTACGATAACAGGTATTGGATATCGGCGCGAAATTTATTCACCCATCCGACTGAATAGAGTCTTGGCATTATAGCTGATGTCATTTTGTGATGAAAACCCTAAATCTAATTTCTAATCCTAACTATCAACTGTAAATAGTAATCCTTATTCTTTAAAATGCTTTAAATCCCTCATCTAACCCTAATAGGTAGGTAAACACTCTCAAGGTTAGTTTAGCGTCGCTCAAAGGTCGTCCATAAATTATAATCTCCTCGTGATATCTGTACAAGCTGATATAATTAAAAAAAGTTTTCAAACTAAACTCATTATTAAGTAAATATGCACTTCTGAGGAGTCCCATACTAAAACTAAACGGTCGGTCAGTGCTTCCAGGTTTTCCATGTTGGTCTAGCTTCAACTGACTCATAAATTCAACTATTGAAATTACTATAATATCCACAAAACCCTTCTCCAATTAAAATAAGAAAAATTTTAAATTGGCAGGTAATAGTGACTTGTTATTTTCTTTTCTTTAAGAGTAGGCACATATGGTTTTCTTTGTAATCAGTGATCAATGTAACCTGTTGAAATTCAACCAGTGCTTATAATAAGATGATGATGAACACACCTTAAAAATATATTACAATGATTAACCTTTACTAACATCCTTTATTATAATTGTTAAAATTAGTTAACTTATAACATTGTTGCGGATAGAATAACAATTACAAATATACACGGAAATAATTGTAGCTTTGTGTTTTTGGCGTACTTCTTTAGAAAACGGACGTAACTTATATCTAAAATTCACTTATCATCATAAATATTTCAGTTTCATGTGAGATTTTTCCATATACTTATAAAACGGAATTAACAAAGGGAATTTCTTTGAAATTATTGTAATATAGAAGCTCTCCTACAATCAATTTTGGTTATCGTTAATTTTGGTTAAGCCCTGTTATTAACTTATTTAACAGAAAACGCTATTCGAAGAGTTTGCACATTCGTTGTATTATTATGATTACATATGACAGTCAACGCACATATCTCTCTGTGTGGTTTAAATGTTATTATCTTCAGTATCGATCGACGAGTCATTCTCTTACCCCATGTATATGTGTTCTCGAATCCTATTATTAGCATTTGCCTTGCCTTGTCGTGCCCTTATATGATTTGACCGAAAATTCACCTCTGTATTTGCTCGCTCGCACACATATTCTCCTATCTGCTCGGAATCTTCCAGATGTGCTTGTACCTTTGTGATCTGTGATATCCGATAATAAACTGCAATCGCCGTTTCTTATTGCCTTTGATTTCAAACACCGTTTGGATTTATATGATAACGGTTATCAAGGTGATTGATTAACGAAGTTAAGCCACTACAGTAACAAGGTTTGCTTGTGCTAGCATGACTTGTTATGCCATTTTGATATCTCAGTTGAATGATTAACTTGAGTAATATGCTTTAACATTACATTGAATTTGTTTTTTTGCATAATTTAATACTGTTGAGCAACGAAAAAAGTTGGCTATGTATTGTATGCAAGAAAACTATAAAATGCCTTATTAAATGTTTTCAAATTTGAGATGTAAATTCATTAGACCGTTAAAGCAATACACATCAGTTAATGTTCTAAATGCTTGTTTATCTAATATTTCTGAGTAATATATTTTATAATGGAAAACATGTTTTACTCTAATAACAAATATTTTATTATCATAAGGGGTTTAGTAATTTTATTTTTGAAATCATGAGTCAATTGAAGCTAGACCACCATAGAAAACCTGGAAGCACTTGACCACCGTTTTGTCTAAGTATGGAACTCTTCTGCTGTGCGCATCCACGATCCCACCCCGCGAGATTCGAACACTGGACCTATCAGTCTTGCGCACGAACGCTTAACCTCAAGACCACTGAGCTCCACAAAACACTTTCTAATAATAATCGTAATATCCTCCCTATTGGCTGGCTTCAAGAGGTATTTCCTGGAGTTCTAGCGTGTAGCAGTGATCATTGGAGTCCAACCAGGTCTATTGTGAGATAGTAACTCACTGAAGACAATGGTGGATGTGTCGCTCAATTTCGTGAATTGGTTGAAGTTAGACATTAACACCGTTGGATGCCGACCGGCTCAGTGGTTTAGAGTTTAAGCATTCATGCGCGAGACTGATAAGTCCTGGGTTCGGATCTTGCTAGGTGTGATCGTGCGTGTACACTGATGAGGAGTCTCATACTAGGACGAGACAGCCCTCCAGTGTTTCCAGGTTTTCCATGGTGGTCTAGTTTCAATTGACTCATGTGTTCAACTATAAAATATTTTATTTATCATAAAATTAATCAGTTAATATATCAAAGATGCTTCGTATTCATTTTTTAATTGAAACTCTAGTACAAAGTTCAGTCTTCAGTTTGAATTAACATTTGTAATACCTTATTCTATGAAAGTTTTTCGCCTCAGCAATTTACTGAGATAGTGCGAACGTTAATAGGAAGTAAATAAAGCACTGGATTAAACAACTTTAATGAGAACAAAAGTTGACTGTGCGAATATTACATATATTTTAAAAGTATTTTATATAGAAACATTTTATACTGATCCTGTTGAATATTTCGTTATATTTCTTTAAAGGCATTGTATCAACCATCAATGTATTTATCTGGAATCCCAAGAAATTCGCAATCTTCAGAAACAACATCCTCATCAATAATTTCCAATCAAGTGATTGATTCACAAAGTAAAAATAAATCAAAACAGAACTTTCGCTTAAATTCTTTATGTGACCCTTCAACACAAAATCTATGTGAAGCACTTCCTGATAGTTCATTGATTCCTATTGGACCACCATTATGCCTACCACCATCATCATCTTTTGGTATTGAACAAAATACCGGTTGCATGTTAGGCATACGAAGTGCATGCTGTAGAAAGTCACATTACATCAGCTCAGTGATTGGATTCACTGTGATCGTTTTATTATTCGGTTTAGTATTGGTCCAAATGTACAAACCACATGTAGCAATGCCAAAAAAAGTATCAGCATCAACGTCAGACTATTCCAAACAGAGCAGTTCACAACTTTTAGCAAACAAAATTCCAAATTTATCAACTCCAATAAGTTTTCTTCTTCCTTATTATGAATTGTTGATCCGTGATCATAGTAATCGACTAAACGAAGATTGGCTTGATTGGACAAAACGTAATGAGTTAGCTATGCGCGGACGCGTACTCAACTATCTGTCCAGATTTAAACATGAATTGGTAAGTTCAAATAGTTCTCTGAATTATTTATTCTTTATCGATATTAAATGTTTGAAATCACGCAAGGTGGGAGCATACAAATTACAATCAAGTAATATTTTTTTTGTGCAAACAAAAGCTAAGAACGCATTATGTATTAGTGTCAAATACTAGCAAAAATCTCTTTTACGATTTTCAAAAAGGTTCTTTTCTCAATTTTAATACAACCCTCAGATATCCTTTCAATAAGCCTAAATAAAATGTTACGGTTTATACTGCACTGAAATGACTAAATAATAATAACATATTGTTCTTAAATTGGTATATCGCTCTAATAAGAGTTCAGAGAAATGTATTGAAACTCAAACTTTTGCTCTATTCAAAAATATTTATAGTTGTATAAAGTTTGAAATTTCCGCACCAGAAATGCAATACATTAATGTTCACTGGTAAATTGAAGGTTTGTCGATTATTTCAAGTATGTTATTTTAAACTGTTAAGCTGCGCCTCCAAATCTGCTTATTCTTACATAGACATGAGAAACCATAAAATACTATGAATCAGTATACAAAAGCTTTTTTTTTCAAAATCGAGTAAACAAATTTTCACAGTTACTAGGTTATATAAAAAGTTATTTTGGTGAACATCAACATGTTATGTAATACAGTTTTCTAGAAAATATAGGTAACGATGAACGGAAATTCTTCATAAAATGTTTGTTTCATTACCCAATGTTTCATTAGTAAATCCCTGTCGATATCTCATTTTACGCAGGTTTACTATTGTTTTAATTTTAACATGGTTGAAGGTTTCGTAAAGACGTTTCTATTTTTTTGAAAGCATTTATTAGATGGAATTGACATACACTGAAGATCATCTCCGAAAACATTACTTATCGTTAGTTGGTTTAAAGAAGTTACTAGTAAACCCTGGAACCATATTTAGCGCTAGTTTGTTGTTGTCGATAAGATGTACCAGTAAATTGCTGAAAATTCGGAATATTGATCAATGTCTTAAAACTATCACGTTCACTACAGGGTCTTCATATTCTAAATTAAGTTTGGTGTGGAATGATGGCTGGATATTCCTGGTAGTTCCACACTTGGAGAAAATACTTCTCAATTGACCTTTAATTTTCAGTGGATTTTCAGATAGTGACGGTCAGTGGTGAAGACCACTCAGGTTCTTTTGAGTGAAATCCGTGTATTAGCATCACATTAAATGCAGGATACTGTTACTGTAAGAATAGGTAGTTCCTATTACAGGCCACTAAGTTGTTTACTTCTTATGCTAACACAATAGATACGGACATCTACATGAAACGAACCGTTTTTCTTTATGATAAAGCTTTCTTCAAAACTCACTCTCGATAAAAATCTCAACATCTCTCGCATTCATCTTTGAGTACATTATTGTTCTACATTTTCTACGAAATAAGATACTGTTTAGACATTTAAATTTCAATATTTAAATAATGAAAAATGCCTACCTTATTACTTATTTCTAGAATGTTACTAAATACAAATATCAAACTTCGTTTTGTATTCTTTTTGACATTCTCCCTTAATGTATTTCTTCAAGACAACATATTTCCAGGACACTATCAGTAACAAAACATTCAATGTTGATATTCTGTAAAAATTAGTATGAATTATTGTCAGTGGTGTGACTTCTTGTATTATTATGATTATTGTTGTGACTTTATAGACCGCTAATTATCACGTAATTTATTCGCCAATCAAAATACGAATTATTTGCTCCTATACTGTACTGAACCAATGACATTAGACCGGTCTGATCAGCCTAGTGTCCTATTAGTCCGTTGCTCACCCAGCCCGTCTAGCCGAGTCCAGAATGCCAATAACAGCTTCCACTATGAGAATCATCTATCTCAGACATACTGGGTTTATATATCAAACAAACAGACCGCAACGTACCATAAAATAGGAAATAATATTTGTACACAATAAAGCCGAAAAGTGGAGTCTCTTTCGTCACCGAATGTCTGGCATTTCTATATTGCAGTAGAAAGGTATCTACTCCCCTCTCCAGCTCATTAAATGTTGAGGCAGCAATAGAATCAATGGCAGTTTTTAACGTCCTGACAAAATTTTCTGCCTGACCATTGGAACAAGGATGTCTGGGAGCAGTAAACAGATGTTTGCACCCTATACCATTTAACCAGGTAGTGACTGCATCTGCAGCAAAATGAGAGCCGTTATCAGTTACTAACACCATTGGAACCCCTTCTCGACTAAACACCTTTCTTAATGCTTGAATTGTGAAGTCAGAATTTGGTGAAGTTGTGAAGAAAACTTCAGGCCACTTTGAAAAAGAATCAATAACTACAAGCGCATAGTATTTGCCAAGAAACGGACCACAATAGTCTGCATGAATTCTCTGCCAGGCCTCAGACGATACTGGCCATGGAGTCCACTTCGAATGCTGATTTTTCAACTTATGACACTTTTCACAATTGTTTGCTGTACGACAAATATCTGCATTTATCTCTGGCCACCAACATGTGAGCCTCGCCAATGACTTCATTTTTTCAACACCTAAATGTCCAATATGAAGATCTTCTAGGACAGATTTACGCAATGAAGGAGGAATAACAACACGATCATTTAAACACAAAATACCATCAGGAGTAGTAGATAGCTCATCCCGCTTTGAAAAATAGATAGGAAATCTACGTTTCAAATTAGCATTCCAACCTTTCCGTATAGCATTAATTATACATCCAAAGTATTTACGAGTTTCTATAATGAGATCTGGACGTTTCACTGGTAAAGGTTGCACTAACAAACAGTCTGAAGTATTTACAGGTTTATCTTGTAATGACTGTCGAGAAATGTAGTCAACATGTTGAATTTGTTTGGCACTCCTATGCTGAACGGTATAGTCATAGGCACTCAAAGCAATACTCCATCGTTGAACCATAGCAGCTGAGGAACGTGCTAAGGATTTTTCAGGATGATAAATAAACTTTAAAGCCTCATGATCAGTAACAATAGTGAATTTCTTTCCGAATAAATATTTATGGAGTCTTTTAACAGCCCAATACACAGCTAATGCTTCTCGCTGAGTCTGTGAATAACCTTGTTCAGTAACAGTAAGTTTGCGTGAAACACAAATAACTGGTCTACCCTCCTGTTCCAAAACTGCGCCAATACCCAAAGGTGATGCATCAGTGATAAGTACAGACTGTACACTAGGGGAGTAAGTTCGAAGAACAGCATCACTTTGAAGAAACTTTAGTAGACTACGTAAGCATGACTCTTGTTCCTCACCCCATTTAAATGTATTGGATGTCAAAATATTAAATAAACAATTTGCACGACAAGAAAAATTAGGAATAAAACGGGAATAGTATTGAAGAGCACCCACTAGTGAACGTAGTTCCGTAAGGTTTTTTGGAGACGGTGCATCTGTCAGTGGAGCTAGTCGTTTCATATCTGGTCTAAAACCATTACCATCAACTAGGTATCCAAGACATTCGAAATTAGATACACAAAATGAACACTTATTTGGATTCACTGTAATATTCTTCTCAATTAAACGACGCAATAAAGCAATAAGTCTCTGGTTATGAACTACCTTATCAGAACCATGGACAATGAGATCATCTTGATAAACTTCAACGCCCTCAAGATCACTAACTACATTATTCATGACTTCCTGAAATATAGCTGGAGAACAACTTAGACCAAATGGAAGGAAATTGTATTTGAACAGACCAAAAGGAGTATTAATTGTCGTCAAAAGAGATGAAGATTGATCTAAAGGGATTTGGAGATAAGCATCTTTTAGGTCAACTTTCGAGAACACTTTCGAACCATGAAGTCGATTTAGAATATCTTCAGCCTCGACCGTCGTGCACGTTTGCTTCAACAAACGGGAATTCAGTGTTAATCTATAATCACCACATATTCTAGGGGTTTTGCCATCCGACTTCAGTGGCGTAACAATAGGAGTACCCCATGCTGAGGACTGGATCGGTTCAATTATGCCTTTCGCACACAAATCGTTTAATGTTTTATGTACTGCCTCTCGAAGACCATAAGGAATTATTCGTCTTTTAAGAAATACTGGTTCACCCTGTACTTGAAGTTTTATAGGCTGAATCTTCATACCTCCACTGCACTTAGCACACGTGGCTATCAAATCTTTAAGTAAAGCATCATTGTTTTCTTTAGAAACTAGGAAAGACAGCTCCACTTTAAGCCTTTTCAAATTCCTTAAGCCCAATATTGACAGTCCTGTTTCGCTAACTAAAAATTCACAAGGTATGTACGAAGAATTATCATCTCTTATTAGCAACTCACAACATCCTCGTATAGGCAGTCTGTGTCCAGTAATCCCCAATATTGATACCTCAGTGGGTCGTACCACAACGTTAGGATCTAAACATTTCAAGTTCTTGAATGAAATAATGGACTCTATACTGCCTGTGTCAACAATAAAGTCATGACATGAACCAAGCGATGTATATAATCGCTTTTGAATATGAGCATTACCTTTCGAAACAGTAGACAAAGATAAGTGATCATTAGGAACAGCTGAATCACCGGGATCTAAATTACAAGATTTAGTACTACTTGAGGCAAAATGAATAGTAGCTTTGCATACTGATTGAATGTGTCCTATCTTACCACATCTAAAACATTTAGCATTACGAAATGCACATGAATTACGAGAATGAATTTTTCCACATGATAAACATTTGCCAAACTTGGTCTCACCTTTGTGATTTCTTTTGTAATTCCTTGTTGAGATATCTTTCATATTTACACGAGAATAGGAACCACTGTTAAACGAACGCAATTTTGATTGACCCTGAGATTGTATTTCATCATGACAACTAAGCAAAGTATTAGAAATATTCATCGACTGGATATCAAGTTCATTCACTGCCTCGTAGTTAATACACGCAGTTCTAGCATCTTGAAAGGAACAGTTCGGCATTCTTAACAGCTCTCTTTCCAAACCCGGCAAGTTAATTCCTGCAATTAATCGATCTCTCAGTTGCACATGAAGTTGATCACCAAAATTACATTTGGCAGCTTGTTTCTGCAATTCAAGAATGAATTCCTTAACCTTTTGGTCATTTCGACGAGTCATCTTATGAAATTTTGCCCTTTCACGGCATTCAAAACTAGTGCACTTTACATGATTTAATAATAACTCCTTAATAGTTGCATAAGGAAGTGAGATAGGTTTTTCTGGATATGCCAAGGTTTTCAGTAAGCTGTATGCTTCTTTTCCGATGAATGTCAGGAAATAAGCCACAATTTTATCACCTTTAACATCCTTCTTGGTCATGCTCCAAATTTCAAACCTTTCCAAATAGTCCTCAAAAGCTTCAGAAGTTGAATGAATATCTAACTGTTCCATCGCAGTCTCCATCGCGACGCCAATATGATAATTAGAAGTAATTGAATTATAGTATGAACTAAGAATCCCAGGGATAACGCAATTGAATCAAGAAGTACTGCACAAGCACTAACAAATGTACTGTATTTAGAATTCGAAATCAAACATTCAACAAGTACAAAGGAGTCATTAGTTCATTCAAACACCACACTGTGAACGTGGGAGACAGTAATTAACAAACTGAGAATAACATAAGAACAGTAAATCGTACAATAATAATCTATAAGTCAAAATGAAGCTTATAATAAGGGATATATATATAATCTAGTTACTGAATAGTTATATAATAAGAATATATAGATAATATTAGTCCATTAATAGGTCTCCAAAGTTACCCGTAATTTAATCTTCACTAGGATATAACAGTTGTTATTGTTTACTGATATTGTACTACCAACATGAACAATATTATTATTGTTATTAATAATAATTCTGTAGCCTGACTTTTCTTACCTACTCATTATTCATTCTGATTTCCTTTTTTTTTAAAAATACTGTGAATCTCACAGTTTTTCAGTTTTCATTAATTTACTTTTGATATATTTACATATGTATTCCAACTGTTGCTTTAACAATTTACATTTTGGAAATTTATTACTGATGATGAATCATATATGAACAAACAACAGAAATAAAACAAAAGCCTGTCATGATTTTATCAGTTCTTGAAGGTTAACTATTTTAATTTGTCGAAAAAGGGAAATCATTTATATATACATAATTATTGAAAGACTGATTTATTTAATATACAATCTAGTTAAAGAAACAGAAAGTAAATTTTGGTGAAAAACATAAAAAATAAAGTAAAAAATAAACGAAGTTTAAACCAATGTATACACTTACAGCTTATTGACTGATATAAGCTTTTACAGTCCAATGATTAGTTTGGTATACTGTAACTTAAAGCCTTTCTGTAATAATCCAATAACATTACTACAAAACAGTTCATCAATTTATTGGATACTAAAATGCAAATTAACAAATGTGGTTAGTTTATAAGAAAACTCTTCTTCATGTATCAACTAGGAAGTGAATATAGTCTTTAAACAACTAAAAAATAGTAAGTACGAACATAAATTACTCTTAATTGCATTATAGATGCATTGAAGTATATGTGAAAATGAAGAGAACTCGTTAATTAACGGCAGAAGTATTGTTTAGTAATCATCAACGAATTCTATACAAGAAGCATATCAGACATATATATATATATATATATATATATATATATATAGAGAGAGAGAGAGAGAGAGAGAGAGAGAGAGAGAGCTTAAAATCGGTTGACTTAAAATAAACTTTTATGACATACAATCCATTAAAACGAAATAGACATTGAACGTTGAGCTTATTTTTTGTTTCAGAGGTACATTGATATAACATTGTAGACTATTATTGATTGATCTGAGAACGTTGATTTTATAAGTATCTTATTCACTTTCAAGTAAACGAGACGATAGAAGGTAATGTAAATGTACCAGTTGAAATCAGTGTAAAACAAATAACTTTATCAATAATTCTTATCAAATTTATTTATCTTCTTATAAATACGTTATAACTATTGTATATATTTAACCTCGAAACAAACAATTTCCTACATTATTATGATATATTAAAAGCAAAAGATATCAATAATACTATTAAAGAACAAACTGAGTACTCTTGAATTTTTCAGACATTCAGTCAGCTGTAACTAATTCTCATAAATATCTGTAATAGTAGTAGTAGTAGTATTAATTAATTTTCTCATGTCTATTATTTCCATCTACATATTTACCCTAGTGATACTCTTTTTTTTAAAAGAGAAATTCAGCTAAAATACAACGAGATTTTGAAAACGTCCGTTATATTACATGATTTAAAAAAACATTAATTTCATTTAGGATTCATTTATAAGTACACTTGTGTTTCATATTATAAGCAATAATTAACTATATTGATCTGTTCATCATTACTTTGTTACGTTTCTCTGAGTTGATATGTTTGTAAGAACCGGTAGTGTTGTTCGGATACTACAATGAATATAGTAATAGATTACATTGATTGTTTTTAATCAAATACATTTTATTAAAATATTCAATATGAATATATAGTTTTATGTGAAATAAGGTTTTTACCGTTTCATAATATTAAAATATCTAGTACGTAATTTACATATGAATTTGATAGTAGGTAGTGTTAAATCACCATAATTATTATTAACAAAATCAGTACAAGGAATGTGAAGTTTAAGGAAAAATCTTATCGATTAAAGATCCTCATCATATTAAAAGACTAATATTTGAAAGAAGAATATTCTTTTCGATAAATTCTCTTCAGGTTCTACAATTAATATATCTAAATTAATAATCCGAATAATGGACAGGTTAAGGGCAAAGTGAATCGTTTAGTTATAGAATGTGAATTTAGGATTGTCAAAAAAAAAGTAGAATAAAATTGTCCATGTTGATATGAATCATATAGAATGTTAATTTGAATCAGCTTATATGTGAAGTGAAAATGTTCAGATCCATGATCAGAATAAATATGGATCAGATAGGGTGAGAGAAATAATAGTGCAATTACAATCCGATCAGATGTTAAGTGTAATTTTCTGGTGTAAAAAAATTATCACTAAGATACAATAAGGTGGGATGAATGGAAAGTAAAGGAATCACGTATTGGGGAGATTAAAAATTATGTTTAAACAATAGTAACAATAATAATGATAATAATAACACAAAGATTTGTGAATAAAGATAACTAAGACAATTACACTTGACTACGAAAGACCGCAAGTACAATAATCAAATTAAGCTATTCAATAGCTAAGATTACTATTGATTAATTGGCTTTGAGTTTGGTCAGGGAAGGAGAAGCGGTTGAAAATACTTCTTTTGTACGCATAGCTCCGGTTCCTTAATCTGGATAGCTGATGCTTCAGCCGTTTGAAAGATTTTAAGTCTGACAAGCTCTGACAAAAAATTAGTGATCCGATAAATAATTGAAAAAGATTAGTTTCTACTGGCACTATGACGAGTTTGTGCTAAATGGGCCAATATCGGGCTGTTCACATTATGCGGCAGACCCTTGCGTACCCACCCCGGGAGGTGTTCACGAGGACGAAAATGTAAATTCCTAAAACTTCGATCAATATAACTTTCTTCACAGTATCAGTCGCACTGATAAACACAAAATGAGGTGGTCATTCTAGGTAATTCATCTTTTAGCCTAGGTGTCACCATTGGGCGCGTAAAAAACATTAATTGTAGTTCCCGGCGTTGAAAGATTTTTGTTTTGTCGTATCAACATGTCGTATGAAGATAAACCATTTTATTCTGATTTGTTTGACAATCCTAAATTCATATTTTATAACTAAACGGTTCACTTTACCCTTAACCTGGCCATTTTTCGGATTGTTAATTTGGATATATGAATTTATCAAAAAGAATATTCTTCTTTAAAATATTAGTGTTTTAACAATATTATCAATAATGCTTAAATTGTATGGATTAAGAAATGATAAATGACTGTTAAATTTTTCTTAAGTGTTTAGAAGCAAATTTATGAAATCAAATATGTTTGATTTACAATAATTTAAAGAGACAAGAACCACATCAGATCTTGAAAACATTCATAATTAAAGCTATCTGTAAAACAATCAAAACTCTTCAAAATGATTTAATTACAGTCAAAGATAAGATCCAGTTTACATACACATAAAATTGTGGCTACAGACTAGAATGTGTCTATCGTGATGTGTTCTGCGGTAAACAGTCATTTGGAGAAATCTTCACTCGTATTTAGGCTCACTTTAGCTTTACAAAAGACCTAATGGTTTTGTAGAGCTGGAAAATTTACAAATTAAAATGGCAATAGCAGCCCATGTCATTTTTCAATATTCATCAATTTGATATTACAAATACTAAAACAATTCAAAAATGTTTTCCTAGCTAATAAAGAGAGATGATGTTAAATCTCTCTGCCTCTCATTATGAAAGAAGGTCTAACTATTTATCCAACCTGGGGTAATTTATAAAAAAACATCTAGTCATAGATGGATGGTGGATAGGAGGAGAATTCAGGACGCTCATTTCGTCCTATTTGGAGCTCATCAGCTGAAGATTGATAGTTGGTAATGCAATGGCGTTTAAAGCGAACGGTACTAGGTTCGAGTATTGGAAATAACATCAATGGTGGAATGCAGATACATCCAGTTGACGACTTCCAGACAGGAGGAAACACTCATCCTGGATTCCGCTGCTAGTCACCACCCATCTTTGCTTATAAATTCAATGATGTCTTGTACAGAACCACCCTGGTAAAAAATAACATGACACTGATGTATTCAAACATGTTATGATTTTCCATTGTAATAAAAATATTTTGCTTTTTATCCTTTTTACCATTTAAACGAGTATAAATTTATTTCGACTAGGTTTTCAAAGGTTGACAAAAATATTACAACGTTTAGAAGATCTATGGACCAAAATTCATTCTATAAAATTATTAATTCTTCAGTTTAATGAAAACTTTTAATCTTTGACATCCAATAAAATAAATTCAGCTTACTGTTAACCAAACACATTTTCTTGTAATAGAAAAATATGTAAATGATATTGAACGTCATTAGTTTTTTATGTACCGTAATAAAAATGAATAATACGAAATAAACCTGAAATGCAAAATGATTAATCACAGACTATGTAAATGTAGACTAGGGAAGTTGGGAAAATTTTCACTTAAACAAATGTAAAAAGTAACAAAATACAAGTCCACAACGGGGACATTCGATCTATATACCTGTAATATCAATCTACAAATAATTAATTAAATCTACAACATATATAACAGATGTTTTAGTGTTTAAATGATTTTCAAATGTAGTTAAAAATTTGCTTTAATTACTCTTTTCATGTACACTGGTGAGATATAAACACCATAACTTACTCTTCATTAACTATCAAGATAACCGATGTACTAAATGAAGATCAGATGCGTAGTGGTTTGTATTATGTACTGTGCTGGGTTCTGGACAGACCTTGTTGATTATTCGCTTATTAACCCTGACTGTTTTTATATGCTCATATATGTGTTACTTGCTTACCCTATTCATTCCACGTCTGCAACTTATTTTTATCTGAATATAAATATAAAGTCACGCTTGGTCAAAAAGAGTTTCCTCACTTGTCATCTCCACTGCACGTCACTTTATTTCGTTTCACTTCCTTCACTTCGTTTCTCTGATTGTCTGTCCGGATCAACGTATGTGCGTATTATATGTATTCAAAATTTGTTTTCGTATTTGATTTATTTAATTCCCTTATTCTGTAACACGAATTAAGTCGATAAAAATATACAAGGGTTCGCAGCATGTATATTTCGATAACAATCAGTATACGTTTAACTGGGGTCGGATACGGAGCTACTAAAGATGAACTAAATACAGCATCTCATTCTTTATCGATACCTTATGTTAGCTAATTAAAATGGTAAATTTTTAGGGAGGGATTTCATGTTTTCTGTTCACTTGAAAGTTTTATTTTGTTGTTAAGATGTGTACATCACTGCATTCCAGATAATCTCAAAATATTGGTATCCGTCTTACATAAATATGTATTTTATAGACTTTCCTGTTTAGAATGAAATGGTCGGATTTTGAATGAGATATCCTAAAACTTGAACTAACAGACTAGAATTCTTTAATATATCTTCAAATACATATCCGAACAGGGTTTTATATAAAAAAATAGCGTCATTTGATAAGTTGGCTGATCATTAGGGATGATGATTGATTTCATATTGTAAACATATTTAAAATTGTATGACACAATTGTCGTAGATCATTGTGATCAGCTAAGTATAGTGTAAAGCGAATACTCATTTTTGTATGTAACAAAATATTGGAAATAGGATAAAGGATGAAAGCAC